GCTTCTTCTCTGGCACGTGCTTCCACCGTGAGGCTACGCTTGGTATAAGTGTTCTAACAAAATTTTGTCACTATCATCTCTCGTGCATAGCTTTTTATCTAGGGAAAAGGCCAGCAAATTTTTTTTTAATAAAAAGCCAGATAGTAAATATTTTCAGCTTTTCTAGCCACTACTGGTCTCCAATAGAGTGTGAAGCAGCCATAGACAATATGTGAACAAATGAGTGGGGCTGTGTTCTAATAAATCTTTATTTATAAAAACAGGCAGCATGGCCAGATTTGTCCTGGAGGCTATAACTCACCAGCTCCTGACCAAGAGTATCTGGCACACTATTTTACAGCCATTGCCTTCTTAATACTTAAGCAATTCTATTAAGAATCATAAAACGATTCTTATGTTTTGATCCAGTAATTTCATATCACATAATCTAGTCCTAAGAAAGTCTTTAGATTTGCACATATAAGTTTTTACAAAAGATATTCACTGTCATAATACTTATAATAATGAAAATTTAGAAGCTATTTTATTGGCCAAAAACAGGGCATCAGAGAAATCAGAGTGATGAATATTGGGCCGTCTTTAAAAGTGACCATTCCAAGAAGCTTTCATGATGTTAAGTCAAGAAAAAGTAACATAGAAATTGTGCAAAACAGTTTGATCTCAATTAGATTTAAATCTACATATGCATAGAAAAAGAAAAGGAAATATACCAAATTTTTAAGTGTGGTTGTCTCTGAATGGTGAGATTATGGAGTGATTTTTCTTGTCAAAGACAGAGGCTCAGAGAGCTTAAGTAACCTTCTAATGGTCACCTGCCCAGCCAGTTAATAGCAAAGCAAAATCTGTCAGATGCCAAACACTTGCGCTCTTTTAATAATTCCACACTGGGATTGTTGGGATGATTAAATAACCTTATATACATGAAACATCCAGCAGAATGCTCGTAACATAGTAGGTACCGAACAATGGGTAGCTGTTAATATCATTATTCTTTGTTCTAAGCAGTTCTGTATCTTGGTGGTGTGGTGGTTACACAAATCTATGCAAGGGATAAAACATCACAGAACTACACGTACACGTACACACACACACACACACACACACACACACACACACACAAATGAAGACATTGTGAAAACTAAGGTCTGAAGCCCAGTTAACAGTATTGGGCCACTGTCAATGTCCTGGCTTTGATACTGCGCTCCAACTATTTAAGATTGACGACTCCACTGGGAGAAACTAGGAGAATGTTACATGGGACTCTACTATTTTTATAGCTTCCTGTGAGTCCATAATTATTTCAAAGGAAATAGTTTTTAAAAATACAGTAGAACTTTTTAAAAATGCCAACTGCTTCCATAATTTGCATCCCATCCATTCAGGTAAGGCAGGAAAAGGTAGGGATGGTTTGTTACGGTTTATATAAAAGGTAAAACTGAAATGCTGTGGACTAATTGCTCTTCTCCAGGTCAATCAAAAAATAAATAGAAATAGAAAAATCAAGTCACTGGACATCCAGGATTCTTTCTTACCGGTTGCTGGCCCTACTGCAAAAGTTGTCCCATGTTTAATGGGGTTTATGTTCCCCTGACAAGGAACATGGCCCCTGCCGTTTAGGGATAGACCCGCCATCTCATCCTTTAGGCAGATGTGTATTCTCTGGACGAGAATCTAGAATTCCATGAGCAGATGTCCCCAGTTGACGTTTGCAATAAGGGGAAGCAAGGAACAAACAACACTCTCCAGGAAAATGATATTTACTCAAGTGTTTTCATGTTCTTATTAGTTTTATTATTTTTACATGTACTACTTGAAGCTAAAAATAAGTTTTATATAAATTAAGAAAGCTGGCTTAAGGCTGGTACAGTTATAGTTCTCCTTGCAAAAACTCAACTCACGAATTCACCAAATATTTGTTGAACGTCCATAGGAGCAGGCACTGTTCTAGATGCCGGAGATGAGGTCGTGCACTGGACCAATCCAGTTCCTACCCTGAGGAATGTGGTTTAAGGTCAAAAAACAATTGGTTGTAGCCTGAATTTTTCCACTTGCTTGCTATTTGCCTTTAAAAGCTACCTGGGGCCTTAATCTCCTCTTCTTGGCCTTTTAGAGTGATGATAAATGCATCTGCTCACCAACTCCACTCGTGTATTCAACGCAAACATCACTAGCAAATGATGGCGTTCTTTTCTGAGTTTCAAGGAAGACACACACTTGGAAGCCTTTAGAACAAATTGACTCTATTGTCATTCGGGGCTGGGTGCTTCTTTGCTGTGGAAGGCCGTCTAGCTCATTGCAGGATGTTTAGCATCACCCCGGCATCTGCCCTCTAGATACCAGCAGCACATTCTCACTCTGCCCCACATCTTAGTTGTGACAACCAAAGTGTCTCCAGGCATTGTCAAATGTCCCCTGGGAGAGGGGGAATGACCCCCACTGAAAACTACTGCTCTAACTGTTGCTACCAATGATTAGAGTTTACAGCTAACCAAAACGAATTGCCATCTCAGGGTCAGATAATGTCTTCAGGTCTCTTCTGGTTCTTATACCCTGCAATGCCATCAGTTTGGGAAAAATGATCTGCATTGTTTCTCTTTTAATTATCTAGAAATAGAAGAAGGTTCTTGATAAGGAAACTGAGGCTCAAAAAGGTTAAATAACTCACCCAGGTTGCATAGTTATTAGGGGCAAGGCTGAAACGCAAATACACAACTTCCGAGTCCAGTGTGCCCTTCCCCTCTGGACTCTGGGCCTCTCTCAAACGACTCTGCCTGAAAATGCAGTTTTTTATAGCAGACAATCAATCCACAAGGCATTCAGGAGCTTGGACTCATGCTGAAGCATTTGACTTCCAGTCACTGTCCTGGGTTCCTTCTGTGTTTTTTAAACTTTCGATCATACCTGAGTGAATGGGAACATTTTCTTGGATGAGAAGTGGAAAAATCAGCATTATGGGCTCAAGAAACCAATCAGGAGCAAGGCCTTATGGGTAACATGAATAAAAATGAGGCCCAAACCCTGCCTTCGGGAAGCTGACAGTATGTAGTGTTGAGGGTGTGGGAATACACACATAAATTTTCATACAAACATCAATTCATTAAGGCTGGGCCAGTTTAACATGGGTGTTGTACGCAGGAGAAATGCCCATCCAAAACATAAAGATATTTGCAAAACACTGTACATCTTTACTGGGGGCATCTGTTCATTAAAAACTGCTCTTCAATCTTCTTTACCCTCCCATGTCCCTCAAAGCTCCACTCCACATGACATCCCAGCTGTCCCTGACAACTCACCGAAAGAATGATCCAAAGTCCCCTCCAAACCCAGCCTCCACTGGCTCTGTTGCCCTTTGCCACTTCCCACTCACCTCTGTCTCGCCTTCCCACGCCTCCGCTCTTTCACGGTGAATGGATCAAGGCAGCATTAGCCCCAGTACCGCTCTCACCCATTTCCCTGATTTAAACACCAAGGCCTAGGTGTTGTGCTAGTGGCAAAGCAAAGTTCTCTCCAGTATGTGGGGAAGGTAGAGAACCTTTAAATTGAGGGAAGGGGAGTTCATTCATAAAAAAAAAAAAATAGGAGGTGAAGTGATATAAAGACTAAGGATAGACCACATCCAACCAGACCAATGGAACAATGTCCAAGTGAGAAAGCACTTCAAAAAGTGCATGGCATAATATAGACTGTACTGGAGGCATAGTTTCTGGAGTAAGAAAAAAGTGACTTTTAACTTAAATTAATGGAATCCGCACCTGTGGGACTGGAGGTGATGAGTGAGCAAAGCAGAAGGAAGCCCGGATGGCCGCCCGGCGGGCGCGAGGACTCCGTGCAGGGAAGGGTCGGGTGTGCTCAAGGAGCCGGGATCAGTCGCTCAACTGAGGCTCCTTAAGTTTATTTCCTGTCTCGGGCATTCTGTGACACATTTCCAAATGGAAAAATCATTCCCCATCGAGCTAGCCAAATATCTTGAATAAATAATGCAGAAATTATTAAGACATTTTCCAGAGGGCCCCAGCATTTCCTGTCTTGACAATGGGGCTGGATTTGACATCGGCTAATTCATGAGGTTAAAAAGAACAGCTTGGCCAATGCAAGCTTCCCTTCCAAGTGTTTTTCGATAATGTGAGATTGTGTTGTGAGAGGATGCTTGTGATCGGTTTTTTCCAAACCATCTCAACATCTTTGATTAAGTCACGAGCATGGCCATATGGATGTGCCATTGGCCGATTGCTGGCCTGGGCTGTGGGAATGGGGAGGAACATTGAAATGAATTATGGCTTCACTGGTCAAGTTATAGAATATTAAAATAAAAGAAAAGAAAGGAGATACCTCAACAGCATGCAAGATGATTTTGTGTTAATGGGAGAGACACACATTGGAAGGTTTTAAGGTTCCTAAAAGGGAAAAATACAAAAATATCAGCTCATACGTATATAGTGGTTCTCATGTACCAGCTGTTAATCTAAGCTCTTTACACAGTTTATTCCTGACAATGACCCTGAAAGGGGCAGGTACTTATTCCCATTATACAGATGAAGAAACTGAAGCACAAAATGTTAAGTAACTTTCTCAGGGTCACGCAATGTGTACTGTCTCTCTAAGGAGCCTTTAGAGACAAAGACCAAGAGAAAAATGCCGATTCTTCTTACAATCCTATCAGTAAAATGAGAGAGAGAGAAAGCTTAGAAAATCCCACTCAAATCTCTAAAAATTACAGAAGTAATAATGCAACCACCTCATCATATTGTATCCAAGAACACTGGTTGACTTGTCTCAGATCAAGTGGAGGTAAACCCAGTGCTTGAATACAGTTCTTTTCACTCCCAGGAATCAAACAGGCTCCTGAGAATCAGTTTTCTCATCTGTACAATGGACAGCAAAATACCTACTTATGAAATGATAGATTATTTATCCAAGCTCTTCAGGAAGTAATAGCACGAGTAAAATATATTTTATCATTAGGAGTATCTGAAGTCAGACAAACTGATTGGAGTGAGTACTACCAATTATTATAGGTTGTATCCATGGGCAATCTAGATAGCTACCTAATTATCAGGTTTTTCACCTGTAAAGTGGCAATAATAATAATAATAATATTTCATGGGGTTCTAGTGAAGATTAAATAATATTATGCATGCAAGGCATGGCATGCACCGAGCCCTACCCCTTGCTCATAGTAAATGCTCAATAAATATTGGATAATAATAAAGAAATCATAGCTACAGCATGTGTTATGCTATGTTAATTACAACAAGATTGCAATACCTATTTTGATGAACCAGAGCATTATAGCTTGAGTAAGAAATAAAATAAATATGCAAACTACAGAACTTTAACCTAATAACGTGACCACTCCCGAAGTTTAGCATATTACTGGAAATCACTAATGGAGCACTGCCCATTATTCATGATAGAGCAGTGAGGAATCATGCATAATGGAACAGAGTCCCTGCTAACAGCAGATTCACGCACGATAATTTAAACTTGTTTGTATGGAAATAAAGGACGAATCTTTGAAGTGAGCCTTAATGAGATTCTGCTTGATCTTCAGTGTATCCTGGGAGAGAGAGTTCAATTTTTCCTCCAGCACCCGACTCATGTTGGTAGCGTGTAGGAAAGAAAGGGCCGACTTAAATTATGAATGGCCCTTCTTGTCTTTGTGATAGCAGGTACGGAGTGGGGGCGCTCATCTGGGGGGCACCGGGGAGATGGAGGGAGACAACCACGGTTCTCCAAGGTGGCTTCTGGAGCCGAAACTTACAGGAAGACTCGGTGAGCTGGGGCCTCCACAGGCCTTCATCCTGGACCTTCCAGGACCAAAATTAGCCAGTGGGCCTGGCAGGGGATGCGGGGCGTGTCAGCGTGGCCCTGCACCTCTGCAAATTCTGCTCGTGCACGAAAGGGCTCTGTCCCACGCCTGTGCCGGGGTAGACCTGGCAAACAGCCACCTTGTCAATGATTGCTGGGCTGGCTACTGCCAAACTCTGAAAGGATCTGGTGGCTGGGCAACTTGGCCTGGCCGTCAGAAGGTTCCAGAAAGTGGATGTGCTTTGGTTGGCAGGTGAAGACAGTATGATAGTGGAGTTTCTTAAATCAATTCAAGCCATGGGCAAGGTCTACCTCATTAAGTGACCATTAAGTTCATGATAAGAAGATGATGACTATGGAATGCTGAGGCAATGCTGGCCACACACTGTAGAGAGCTGAGCCTGGGCTGGCCACACACTGTAGAGTGCTGAGCCTGGGCTGGCCATACACTGTAGAGTGCTGAGCCTGGGCTGGCCACACATTGTAGAGTGCTGAGCTTGGGCTGGCCACACACTGTAGAGTGCTGAGCCTGGGCTGGCCACACAGTGTAGAGTGCTGAGTCTGGGCTGGCCACGCACTGTAGAGTGCTGAGCCTGGGTTGGCCACACACTATAGAGTGCTGAGCCCGGGCTGGCCTCACACTATAGAGTGCTGAGCACAGGGTGGGCCACACACTGTAGAGTGCTGAGCCCGGGCTGGCCACACACTGTAGAGTGCTGAGCCCGGGCTGGCCACGCACTGTAGAGTGCTGAGCACAGTGTGGGCCACACACTGTAGAGTGCTGAGCCTGGGCTGGCCACGCACTGTAGAGTGCTGAGCCTAGGCTGGCCACACACTGTAGAGTGCTGAGCCTGGGCTGGCCACACACTGTAGAGTACTGAGCACGGGGTGGGCCACACACTGTAGAGAGCTGAGCCCGGGCTGGCCACACACTGTAGAGAGCTGAGCCTGGGTTGGCCACACACTGTAGAGAGCTGAGCCTGGGCTGGCCACACAGTGTAGAGTGCTGAGTCTGGGCTGGCCACGCACTGTAGAGTGCTGAGCACGGGGTGGGCCACATGCTGCAGAGCCCTCAATGCATGGGAGATGCCATTTCGTTTTTCTTTTTACCTGTATCACTTTGAGGGCTTTTTCGAGTCTGTGGCCTTTCAGGCTCAATTAACTGTAACTCAGCCTCTGAGACGAAGTGTGTGTTGAAGGAGACACAGCCTAACTCAGAGTCGTGAGGAACGACGTGTGTGGCAACTGTCGCTGTGCCGGGCTCCTTGCTCAGGACTCTCCCTACGCGACCCCATTTAATCCTCACCACAGCCTGTGAGGATGAAAATGCTGTTTAAGTTCATTTGACAGATAAGAAAACTGAGGCCCGTAAGGCGACGTTACTCGCCCACGCCAGCAAGTGGTGGGAACTGGGATTTGAACCCAGCAGCCATTTGAGTCCTGCCTCCACTTCCTTAATCGCACTCGACTGCCCGTCCCTCAACAGCGCCCCCTGTGGGAGAACCCTGGCCTGACCCAAGGAACACTAAGCCGCGCACGTGGGGCGGGGGACATCTCCACCCACCCCAGGTTACAGGTGTGTTATGTGACTCTGGGATGCTGACTCGTCCACCTCGGCTGCCCCCCCCCCACAGACGCAAGAATCCCATTCCCAACCTCTTTCGCCTTGATTTTCTAAAGAAAAGCCTCTTTTTAAGCTAATGTGTACTGAGCATTATGTGAAGAGGGTTTCATGCACGTAATCATTTAGCTCCTAAAACTCTTGTTTCTGCTTTACGATGAGGCTACTGAAGCTCCCACAGGTGAAGGAAGCAGCCCAAGGGCACACGGCTGGGGGGCAGGGTCCCAGGACACATCGCCGCGTCACCCACCCAGATGAGCACGTGTCGGACGCTGTTCTCTTTAGGGGGGGCAGCAGTGAACAAGACAGAGGTGTCCTGTTCACCTCCTCAGGGAGCCTGCACTCCAGAGAGGAGAGACAGGCTACGAACAAATACATAAATCCAACAAGACAGACGTGTGCCAGAGAGTGACAGTCCCATGGACAGTGCACGCACACACGGCAATGATCCTGTAAGATACTGTAGCCCATGAGATCATACTGTATTTTCACAGTGTCTTTTCTGTGTTTAGATGTTTAAATATACAGACACCTGTGTGTCACAGCTGCCTACCGTACTCAGTACAGGAACGTGCCACACAGGGGTACAGCCCAGGAGCAGTGGGCTAGACCACGCAGGCTAGGTGTGCAGTGGGCTCTGCCAGTTAGGTTCGTGTAAGGACACATAATGATGAAATCACCTAACAACGCATTTCTTAGAATGCGTCCCTGTTGCTCAACAACATACAACTACACAGAGGTCATTTCTAGGAAGAAAGCAGAAGAAAGAGGCGGAAGAAGGGACGAGAAGGAAAAGATGTGCGTGGGGGCTGCTAGTTCGGATAGGGTGGTCAGAGAAGGCAGCCTGAGAAGGTCATATTTGAACCACAACCTGAATGAGTGGAGGCAAGTGAGGGAAACACATTCCAGGCAGCAGGATTATCATGTGCAAAGGTCCTGGGGCAGGAACGAGTTTGGGAGGGGGGCATGAAGAAGGCCCTTCTGCCCCAAGTGGAGTGGAGGAAGTGAAGGAGTCCGATGGGTGGCCCACATACGGCCACGGCCAACTGAACTGACAGCCTGTGTCCTGTCCTCTCGCCCATATACTGTGCATCTCCCCCAGCTGCCTCAAAGAACATCAGCTCCTATCCTGACACCCGCTTTACCTGGGGCTCCTCCCCTCTGCACGTCCCCAGTTCTCTCTTTCCTTATGTTTAGATGATTACCGGACGTGGATGCTCTGAAATCCATTCCCTTTTTAAATAATTGGAATTAAACCTGGGTAGAGGTCCGCCAAGATGAGCAACGAGCACTCTGTGAGCAGCCTCTCTGCACGGCCGCAGGTGCCTGGGCGCGGAACGAACACCGCACAAAGGGGGGCCAGCGCGGCCGCCCCACGGACACGTTGCCGTCTCTGAGAGCCTCAGCATCAGATGACGCGTCGGTATTTTTAATGCTGAAGCAGATCGACGGTCGCGTCACCAAACTCGCTGCGTACTCAGGCGTGAGTCTCAAACGGCTCTAGCTGCAGGTCTGAGGCTCCGCCGGCATCTACGCTCCGTGACAGGGGACAGTCTCCTTTGGCCACTTCCTTCTGCTGAGTACGTGCGTGCTTTACACTTCTGATTACTAACCATGCCGTGAGCCAAAACATTGCAGTTTAAAAAAAAAACAGATCGTGGGATGAGTCTTCAAGAAAAAAGCTGTCTTTTAACAATCAAAATCTTTATGCATTTTGTTTCGTTATTATGCTAAGATGTTGAGAGAACCGCATTTTCAGAATTTAACCTGGTGTCTGAACACAGAAAAAAAAAAAATTCCTCCATTTATTCTGGCCCCGACTTTGTATCTATTCAATTACAATTTCCAGTCAACCACCCTAGCATTTCAGGGATGGCCTTTTTTTTTTTTCTTCTTTCTTTTTTTAAAAAAGCAGGACTAGAATTTCATTGTATTGAACATAAATGGGGAAAAGTACATTGCAGAATAAAACTTAAAATGCTTTTATGGAATTTTCATTATAAGACTGCCTGTAATGGAGTTGACCTCATATTCACCTAAGATTTCTCTGGCTCCGAGTTCAGATTTCATGCCAATTAACATGTTAATGACATATATCATTTAAAGAGCCCATCATAACTTTTATCACATCATGTTACATCTATTTCCTTGTAATTAAATCAGAATTACAGGGTGTAATTACTTTTCTTTTCCTGAATACCCATTCCTTTTCAGACATTTAAATTCAAGTGCAAGTACTAAAAGACACTTGAAAGTAACAACCTAATAAAAATATTATCAATTAATGAAAGTGTTGGGTTTCTCCTACTCTCTTGGTTTCTTTTTGACAAATTCCTATCTCCCCGTGTACTTTGCATGACATGTAATGATTGGTCGTATCCAGTCAAATGCTTTATAAGCTCTTTAAATCCTCCGGGCCCTAGTCTCTATTAATATGCAATGTTCTCACACATAAATATAATTACATACAATTATTAGCGGAAAAGGATCAGATAAGGTTTATTAAGGAAATATCCTATAATTACCCGAGTCCAAGACTTCCCTTTACATGTTAATTCAGCCAAGGGTTGGAGTCTATAATCATTCCACCTGCAAAACAGCTATTGACTTTGATTTCACTTCGGGAAACCGATCGCCGAGGGCAGGATCAAAAAAGGGGCACCCCTTTGTTTAAAAGACTTAACCATGGATAATTCTACGGAAATTCTGGACTCAGAAAAATCTGGCCACTTACGGTCTTGCACACTCTCCTCAACATCGGGCTTAAAACTTAAAGTTGTATCCTACTAAATTTTGAACCTCATTGTAACTTCAAGTAATATCTAAGCACATGTACGCGACCTAGAGGCACGTGCTCTGCTGTGACAGTCCATTAGAGTTGTGTGGACAAAGCCACCAAGGATTGACGCACAGTATTTGAGGAGCGAGGCACTGGAATGCGGGTAGTAAAGCAACTCCTTTGTTGCCAGAGAGTTCTACGTACATAGATCCATTCCATCACTCGTCTGGCAAATACTTACAGAGTGTGTATAATGGCCAGTACTAGTCTTTTAGCCCTCGGCGATGAGCAGCACACGGTGGAGGTGACTGTTGCCCATGCACCAGCGTTCTAGGGAAAGAGAACAGACCGCAAACAGGTAAACAACAGAATGAACGAGAGAGGTGCAGCAGGTGATGAGAGCCAAGAGGGAAAGATAGCAGAACGAGGGGATGACAGAGATGGTAACGAGGGGATGACAGAGATGGTGGCGAGGTGGATTTCTCCAACAGCCACACAGGGTGGGCAGGGAAGGCATCTCGGAGGTGCCTGGTCTTTGAGCTGAGACCCGCGCGATGGGAAGGAGCGGGAGAGGCTCAGAGGGAAGTGAGCGTGATGTTTCGGAAGAGCAAAGGGCAGGTGAACAAAGGGAGCAAGATCTCGAAGAGGGCGGTGGAAAGATGGCGCCCCTTACCTAGGCCCTGTGGACCCCCACAAGCATCACAGATTTTGTTCTAAGAGGGACAGGAAGCAGTGAGAGGGTTTTAAGCCAGGAGGCGACATTATCCAAATTACATTTTGAAAAGGATATTTTGCGGTGTGGAGGCTGGACTCGGCAGAGGCAGGGACGGAAGACACTGGGAGGCTGTTGGTGCCATCCAGGAGGTGAAGGCACCAGCCTGACCCACGGGGGAGCCCAGACAAAGGCAGAGCCCGTGATGTAGCAGGTGAATGAGCAGCAGCTGCTCCTCATGACTGTGGCTGCTCGTAAGAACCCCCATGTCCTCTGACCATTTGCTGAACAAGTGCATCTACTGTGTGCTAGCCATCGTGTTAAGCCTTGGAAATGTAAAAGTGAGCAAGGCAGACAACATCCCTGCCCTTGTGGACCTTAAATAAGGGAGAAGCACATCCAACCCATAACCAAATAATTACAGAATAGTAAGTCTGGCAATGGCAGGTATCTTGGAGAAAACAACACGGCATGGAGATTTGGAAGGACAGAGCAAGAGGGAGGGACAGCTACTTAAGATTCTGTGCCCAGGGAAGGTCATGTGGAAGAAGGTATGACATAGTCACAGACCTGGATAAGGTGACATCAAGATGTGACCCAAATGTCAGCTGTTCCCACATCTTCCTAATCCCAACATGTTGCTCTTATTTTCAACTGATCCCAACCCCAAACTCAACACCACTGCAAGTTCTCTCACCGAAGCACCAGTGAACAGTGGGGAGGTGGGGAAACTTTCAGGAGGAAAACACAGAAGTGGGGGTGAGACGACAGTGCCACAGCAGCACCTGACAAAGCCTCTCACACATTCCTCTAGAAAAATCCCAGATATGTCTTTTCTCCTTCCTCTGCGCACGATTCCCAGCTTTGTTCTTGAATTCTCTGGCCCTCGCAACGGCCAGTCTCCGCTTTCCTCTTCTAAGCAGAGCAATTCAGCTCAGCCCCAACTCTTCCCACCAGCCCTGCAGCACACCCCGCTAAACAAAGGTATCCCATGGAAAAGCAACTGCAGCCACCATTTTTGCCCTCTGGGACTTCACCTCCTCATTCCTATCCCAACTGGCTCCATACGGTATTTCTCCTTAAAATACTCAGTGCCCTCCCCAAGGGAAGTTCTGGTGAATTCTATTATCACCTTGCAAATGGATTGACATAGCTCACAAGTTCCCCATTTCTTGAGCCCAGGACATGGAATCTCATGGAAATGCACAGGATCATTATCCTATTGAAACCTACCTTTGCACAGATTCTTCCTGTCCATGTCTCCTATGTTTATGTTTTCTCTCCACATACATAGTCAGGATGAGATGAGATAGTGAGGGAACCCTTGCCGTACATCTACGGACTTGGTCTAAGGCAGGGGTTGGCAAATTGACCAGTAGAAAGGTGTCATCAGAACACAACCACACCCTTGGCTTGCAAATGGCCCGTGGCTGCTTCTCCGCAGCTGTGCAGGGCGGAACCGCTGCCCAGCACAAAAGCAGCCCTGTCCCATGCGAATGGGTGTGGCCGTGTTCCAATACCGCTTTATTTCTGGACGCTGAAGTCTGACTTTCATGTAATTCTCACACATATCATGAAATATTCTTCTGCTTTTGATTTTTGTTCAACCCTTTGAAAACCTAAAAACAATTCTCAGCTTGCTGGCTTTACAAAAACAGGTGGCAGGATGGATTTGGCCTGCGGGTCACGGTCTGCCCCCCTGATGTGCGGGGTTGCTGACAACCTCAGGCTCTCTGGGTTCTTGGATCATCACTGCACCACCAGGGTCCTCCCAGGAAGAAAGCAGAGTTGGTGTCAGTGCCCGGCTGTGCCTGGACCTCCCCCTCCAGGTCGCCAGTTCCTAGAATGCCTATCCTCCCCCAGAATGTTCTCCCCTGCAGCCTTCCAAGCCTGGAGTCTGGGTGCCTTGAGACGGGGCCGCACACGCACCCCGATCTCCCCAGCATTCAGCCCAAGCCCAGCGCCACGCAGGTGCTCAAACCACATTAGCGGAGCGAAGAAACCAAGGAATACACGAGAGTCAGAGCATCTTTTGTGCGGTTCTCAAGCCCGTCTCTAACATCATTAATGCTTATGATGAGACGAAACCATTACTTACTAGCAAAATGAATAATTCACCACCATTTCTCAAAACCTACTGGGATGAGAAACAAGGAAGAAGAAAGGCAGCCGTGGGTACCTATGAGTGATACGTCTAAGCGACTCCTGGAGGCGCAGAGCCCACGGCCCCCGCGGCCCCCGCTCCGCACTGTCGCCATAGATTTCCAAAGGAGTGGAGGCCATTCCCTGGCAGCCTGGGGGAGAGGGGCCAAACCGTGAGGCTCCCGCTCGGCCTTCGGCGTTTTACAGTTAAGAGCTGGCCCCGTTTAAAGCCCAACCCGTCATTACCGCTACCAGTGAGATGGGACACTTCGATCCAAATGGAATCTGACTGCCCGAAACGACCCAAAGTTAAGCTGCTTCCGAAAGCATCTTTCACTCTGTGTGCCGGCCACGCCGGCTGACGCCTGTCTCGGCGGAGCGGCGGGTGGCGGGTGCCCGCCCGGCGACATCGCGGTGCAGAGCTGATGCTGCACGTGCTTTTCTGCTGCTGTGTCTTTTCCAGCTGACAGCTTAGCCCGCGCCCTCAGCCTGTCTGTTCAGCTCAGGGAGACGGTCACTGATTCCCTCTCTCCCGATCAGCCCGGGCAATGATTGGGATAATTTAGGGCTTGTGTCGCTTGATCATCTGTACAGTTACAACAAATAAAACATTTTAATGTGAGCAGTCACTGCGTGTTTACTGTATCATATTGCTGAGAGCTGAACGAATGCCAAGCGCTATAACAGAAGGGGGGATGCGAACTCCAGAATGATGACACTAATAAGGAAATTACAAAAGGCCCAACAAATGGCATTTGTGTTAAATCAATAATGCTCTGTTTGTTTTTTTTTAATTCTAATCTTTCTTCGGAAAAAAAAAAATTATCTTTCTAAACAGTTGGCGATTCCTATTCTTGTTCGTCTTCCTGAACATAATTAAAAACATGTTGTGGCGTCTACTTAAGACATCAACTTTCCCAAGGCTGTCTTGTCCACTGCGTTTTAAACAAAGACACTTGTTTTGGCATTGTGCCCTTAATTAATCATTTGAGGCTTTATTGCTGTACAAAAAAAAAATTGTCTTTGTTTAATGATTCATCACAAGCCCAATTTCTGTAGAACTTAATCAAATACAGAACCAACTTTCTAATCAGCTTGAATACCAAAAAAAAAAAAAAAAAAATTAATGTAGGCCTTGTTTTCAGGATGTTATTTGATAAAAGGAACCGGTGTATGACACTGTTACATAGGCTGCTTAGGAATTCTTTCGGAGAGATAGGATGGACCTTTGCTTTTGGAGTCGAGAATGGACACTCATTGTTTATTAAGAAAACAGAACCTCTGATGGCCCAGTGAGTGTCATGTAGCACTTGGGCCTTGCAGAGCCGGGGACAAAGCCTTAAGAATTCACGTCTTGTCTTGCCATTTTCAGCGTCCACTCTGAGAATCAGACGGCGCAGAGCAGGACAAGGTGATTGCGGGCAGGGCCGAGCCGACTGCCGCCCACTGAGATCAGGCCTCGGGCTCTTCCCTCCTCCCGCTCGGCCCTGACTCCACCAGCTCACTAGCTTCTGCGTCAGACTGGCTTCCTCCGGGCCCCTCCCCGAGTAGCATTCACTTGGCAGTCCCCAATGCAGGAAAAAGCAGAACTGAGGCACCTGTGAGTCACACCAAGTCAGGTCTAGGATTTCAAAAAGGTCTCAATATAATAACAAAATCGCTGGAGGAGGAGGTAGAGCATTTGAATTAAATCAACTTATAAAATACATCACTCTCTGGGCTCGGGGTACATGACAGCCTAAGAAGAAGTTTGAGCATTCCGCTATTATTATCACTTTATTATTATTAACTTTGCTGTATTTATGAGAATTTAAAATCTGTGGCATTGATCATGGGTACAGTTTTGAACACGCTTTCATATGAGCTGGAATTCAGAGCTCCCTAACTCCTGCTGTGGTTAGTCAAATACTGTGGCAGATGTTATTTACAGAGGGGAGCACTTTCCTATGCCAGGCACTATGTCCAGCACTTTGGGGGCACATTCCCCTATAAAATGGGAAGTACCGTCCTCATCTTACAGATGAGTAAACGGAGGCTTCATTTGACCTGAAGTTTTCCTACAACTGGGACCGTAGCCTCGACCTCCCTCCAGCTTCCTGATGTGATGTGGAGTCCCAGGGGACCCTCAAATCTCGATTCATCCCAGACTTGGCACTGACTGATGTAAAGCGAGGAAACCGAGCGCATTTCCCCAAAACTACAGCCAGCGTCGGGAGTCTGGGCTCCCGGGTGAGCAGTGTGTCTCGACTGGTGCCAATCAGGGTGCGGCGATTAAGAGTCGGGCTTTAGCATTTGACAAACCTGGCCCCCAATGCCAGCTCCTTCTGTGAGCCCCTAGGAGACTTACATAACCTCTCTGAACCTCAGGCTGCTCGCCTTGCAAGAGCGCCTACCTCACAGATGGGATTGAAGATGCCTTTTCAGATGCAAGCGCATCTAACAAAGAGCCCCTCGCGTAATAAGCATTGGATAAATG